CATGGCCAATAAATTCTGTTATTCGACCTTTAGTAAAAGTTTTTATAGCTAGATTTAGCTGAATCTTACTTTATCACAGTAATGAAATAAAATTAAAGCGTATTAGTACAGAAAATATAGTTTTAAGAACATTAAATATAATTTAGAATTTATAAAAGTTTTCGAGTATTTGACAATTGCATTTTTTTTTTATTATTACGTTCCGTTACATCGAAATTTTTAACCATTTTGTATCCTGAATCCTTAGATTTTATAGATAGAGCATCGAGCCTTAAAAAGGGGTCAATTTTTTATGCTCTTTATACTTACGCACGCAATATCTTGATGTATCTATATTTAATTACTTATTAAATAAAATGAGTTTTTGTGTATTAAAAAGGTAAAGACAAAATAAATATAGAAGTTATAAAGGAATCACTCTATTCTGATACTTCCCTATGGTTGACTGGGAGAGAATGCTTTTAGCATTAAGTCCGCCATGTATCCACATATATGTACTAATAAATAAATAAATTTAAAAAAATCATACGTAAATATTTATCAACCAAAATTGTATGGGGGGAAAGGGATTGTTAGTAATGGAGACTGAGAATCCTATTGCTAGCAATATACCCAACCAGGTCGACCTCCTCGCGGTTCCCCTTAGAAACTATCATGGTTAATTCCTGATGAATTCATCATGATGGGCTAACTGGCCTGTTTTCATTCTCATCTATCACCCTTCACTGGTGCCTCGCCAGCGTATCCCGTGAGCGTAGGCGGGGTTGCCATACCATTTTCACCCAACAAAAAAAAAAAACCAAAATTGTATGAAAAAGTTGATCCGCTTTTCTCGAAGAATTTGTATGGAGACACTCTATCTATATAATCTAAGACAACATCATAAGGATTAAGACAAATAAAAGTATTTATAAGTAATTCTTATGAATACTGTAAATATGAAAGTATGTACCGTTTAAAAGTTGGATGGGGGTGAGGAGGGAGTGAAGGGATTGTTAGTAATGGGGTCTAACTGACCCATGGAAACCATCGTGTTTAATTTTTGTGGAATTCGTCACGATGGGCTAACTGACCTGCCTTTTCATCCTCACCTATCATCCCTAACTGGCATTCCGTCAGTGTATACCGTAAGCACGGACGGGGTTATCATTTAATTTTCCTATAACAGGTCGACCTTCACACAGTTTACCCTGGAAACCATCGTAGTCAATTTTTGATCAATTTGTCACGATAGGCCAACTATCCCACTTCATCCTCACCTGTCATATCTCACTGGTGCCCCGCCAGCGTACATCGATAGCGCAGACGGGGCTACCATTCTATTTTTATGTATTAAAAAAAAAAAATCTAACACTAGTTAGTTCTAATGTATACAAAATAGGACAAACAAAACAATTTTTCGAAGCGTTCTAGTCGAGTTAATTATTTAACAAAACCCGCTCAAGGCTGCCAGTCAACAAAAGGTTGTCGCATGCTGGTTGCGTAAATGACATTGTTGTACACAGATATACAGGCGCACTGGACGAGACAGGCTCGAATAGAAAAAAAAAGAATGTGACCCACAAAAAAAATGTACTTCAGTTGTAAAAAAAAAAACTAGTTAATTTGATCTTTCTTCTTTTCATTTAAGGGTTTCCTCTTGTCGGTGCAACTAATTCATGCATCTTCCTCCAGCCAGCTCTATCCCAGGCCATATCCTTGACCTCCCTATACAACATGACACCTAGTGTTTCCTTTATCTGTCCCATGTAGTTATTCCTCGGTCTTCCTCTTCCTCTTAATTTGATCTGGTTAATCTAAAAACTAAACGTCTCGATAATGTTTGATAAAATATCGTATCCTTCCAACAACCAACCTGTAAGTATATCCTTGCAAGTAAAAAAAAAGGATTTTCCAAATCGGTTTACAACTAACGGAGTTATGAGGTAACAAACATTCATTGATTAATGGCAACAAACGATCAATTATAAATATTAGCATAATACACATCATAGTTTTACAAAAAAGGCCCGTACAGTGCCAATAACAATATTTTATTCTAAATACTGTACTGTGTATATATATTACAACACAGGGGGCAAATGAGCTGATGGTAAGTGACTACCGCCGCCCATGATCACCCACAACACCAACGGCATTGCAGGTGTGCAGCCGGCCTTTTAAAAAGGAATATGCTCTTTTCTTGAAGGTTATGATGTCGTATCGATTCGGCAATACTGCTGCTGGAAATTGATTCCAAAGTATGGTTGTGCGCGGAAGAAAGTGCCTTGAAAAACGCACGGTGGAAGACCGCCACTTGTCCAGATGGTTGGAATGACACTTTAGTTTGTGGCGGGTTGTACGATGGTGAAAATCAGCAGCAGGTTTTCGAAGAATTCCTCAGAGCACTCCCCATGATAAATTCGGTAGAAGATGCACAGAGATGCAACATCTCTACGCATACATAAATATATTTAATATTTTTTGTATATATGTCACATCTAGTCAAACTCTAAGTCTGCAATTCGTTCTTGTGACGACACCTATGCAAACAGAGACAACAAAACAGATACACAATCGCTGATATTCCATGACAATATAATTACCACTGTGTCGCCTGGTATAGAATGGGCCACCCTTTTCATGGGTTTCATCCATTCTTACCATGGGGGTCGTAAGAGACGACTAAGGGAACTTAATAGTCGAGGGACGGGTTGCCAACGGTTGCCAACCGGCCTGCCAAGCGCGGCAACTACTGACTAACCCTCCCCCCCCCCTCTCCCCCTCTAACAGAGAGAGGCCTATATTCAGCAGTGGACAATTAATGTCTGATATAAAATAGTAATATATATGAGTTTTACTGTACTTAACATAAATCTACCACAGACTACCAATACTGGGGATCAAAAATAGGAATCAATAAATTTGGTTCCACACAAAAAAAAACCTAACTTTAATTGTGATAAATCTAATAATTTTGATTTAAAAACTTAGGTTTTTATCAATCATTCATTCATTTCGGCCATTATCCGTCCGCTGCTGGACATAAATCTCCCCCATTGATTGCCATAAAGAACGGTCCTGAGCTACCTGCATCCACTAATTTCCTGCAATGCATTTCAGGGCTTCACTCCAATAGGAGATCATCCACTGCGTTTACCCGTACGCGGTCGCCCATTTTTAAATCAATTTTGAACAATTTTTAAAAATCTAATAGCTAGTAGCTGGCCAGTAATCTAGTAGCTGACAACTGAAACGATTTTGATAAAATTTCTACGGCATCAATCTGTAAGTATATGCTTACAAATGACAAAAGAGTTTTCCAAATCGGTTTATTAATTAAGGAGTTATAAAGTAACAAACCTAAAATAAATTACAACCGAATTGAGAATCTTGTAGTTTTTTTAAAGCCGTTTGAAAAAATAGATATAAAGTAAGTTTTATTTTTAACGCTTCTTTGCATTTCAATTTCCATCATAACACTGAATGCTTAAAATTTATATAAAAGAGCAAGTACACTTTAAGTTGATCGTGTCTGGATACCTTTTTAATGACCATTGCTAAAAAAAAACATAGCTGTCAAATTTATTTCTTTAACCATTTTTCCTTTAATTTTGAACGTGAATTATATCACCTTGATTTATTTCACCAATAAAAAAATCAAAGTTGTAAAGAAGGGTTAAGAAGTTACATAAAAATTTATTTTATTACATTTATTTATTTATTTATACTTTTGCACACATTAAAATATGTCTACAGGGCGGACTTAATGCCTGATGACATTCTCTACCAGTCAACCGTTACGCTAAACAGAGAGAGTAACTGGCGGTGCATAGATTTAAGATAAATAATTGTAAATGAAATCAATACATATATATTTATATATATGTACATACATATATATATATATATATATATATGTATGTACATGTATATATATAAATATTGTTCTGTATTATGTTTCAAGTGGTTCTATAAAGAGTAAGCAAGTAAATACAACATTTTTTTGATGACCCTCCCTCATTCGGCGCTAAAAAGGAAGTCGGACGGATTAGCGTACCGTCATTATTGCTCAATATACATACATACATATATGCATACATACAAGTAGTATGCTAATGTTTAGTAAACGTCCTGCTTACTATATCACTGTTTAATAGTTAAACAGAGTGCTTCACAAAAAAATCGACTTCAATTATGTTGAAGCCGATTTTTTTTGTGTTAACCGATTGTTTTAATTAAAAAAAAACTAAACTATTCAATCGATTTTGATTAATTTTTCTGTGGGACTAAACTGTAAGTAATTTTTAATAATTTGGCACTTTCTTTTTTTTATCCTATTCTAATACTCATATTATAAATATGAATATTTATAATAATTTATATGGATAAATGTTTACTACTTTTTTACATAAAAAACTATTTAAGTGATTTGAAATAAATTTGTTACACGGATAGGTTATGTTTTAATCTAGTACACAGGATAGTGTATGTATCGATTCATGCCGCGGAATATAGCTAGTAGATACGAGTAATACATACGATGACGTTTGTAATGATGAAAGAATGGAATGGATGTTTGTTCATTTCTTACGTAAAACCTACTGAATAGATTTGAATTAAAATTACACGGACAGGTTATATCCTAACTTAGTATATAGGATACTGTATGTATTGATTCAAATATACAGGATACTGTATGAAGAATGGATGAAAAAGTTTACGTTTTTACGTAAAACCTACTGAATAGATTTGAATTAAAATTACACGGGCAGGTTATATCCTAACTTAGTACATGGGATACTGTATGTATTAATTCAACTATACAGGATACTGTATGAAGAATGGATGAAAAATGTTTTTTTACGTAAAACCTACTGAATAGATTTAAATTAAAATTACACGGGCAGGTTATATCCTAACTTAGTATATAGGATACTGTATGTATTAATTCAAATATACAGGATATTGTATGTATTGATCCAAATATACAGGATACTATATGTATTGACACAATGTACCTTTTAGATGATCTGACGTGTCGGCCCTCATGATGTCTGTCAAATAATGTTCCAGTGAACGCATGTTGTCCAAACCGCTCCTCTCCTGTAACAAAATGATAAACCAACGTGAATAAGGTTTTTTTTATTAGGTGATTAACTTTTTGCCCGCTACTTCGTACGTATGGATTTTAGAAGCAGGAAAACCAATGAGAAAGATCATTTGTAGATGATTTTCTTTCTTGTATATTGAAATAAAACATACACCAGAAATAAAGTTAGACCTTTACAAATACAATTGTGAAAATCGCATCCAATTTGGTATAATAGTTCTTGCGTGATTATGGAAAAAATATACTGACGAACCGACAGACAAACAAACAAACAACATTTCTAAAAAAACACGTTTATAGTTTCTATTGCTTTTATTAAGATCACGATGTTCCAACTGAGCTCCTTCATCTTCACTTTCCATTCATCATCGGTGGGTTGGTAACCGTAGTTTTTTTTTTTTTTTTTTTATGGGTGAAAATGGTATGGTAACCCCGCCTGCGCTAACGGGATACGCTGGCGGAGCACCAGTGAAGGGTGATCGATGTGAATGAAAACAGGCCAGTTAGCCCATCATGATGAATTCATCAGGAAATAACCATGATAGTTTCCAGGGGGAACCGCGAGGAGGTCGACCTGGTTGGGCATATTGCTAGCAATGAGATTCTCAGTCTCCATTACTAACAATCCCTTTCCCCCCTGGTAACCGTAGTTAGGCTATTAGGAAGAACACTGTTGCCTATCTACCATTAAGTTTCTTATGTCGCCTCTCCCGATACACACAGGAAAGGAAGGATTAGCTCATGCCGGATCCACACGGACAATATGTAATAACAAGGGTTAAACTAATGGGGGGAACCATTGTTAGCAATATACCCTATCAGGTCCACCTCCACGTGCTCCCCCCTGGAAACTATCATGCTAAATTCCGTGTGTATTCATCACGGTGGGCTAATTGACCTGCCTTTTCATTTTCACCTATCATCCCTCACTGGTGTCCCGCCAGTGTATACCGTTAGCGCAAGCGGGGTTACCATTCCATTAACATCCATTAAAAAACAACATATTATTCTCGGATAATGTAGCTTTTTATAGGTGAATGAGTTTTTAAAATATGTCAAGCACTTTTTGTGTTTATCCCATTGCAAACAAAAACAATTCCTCTTAACAATACGAGTTTTACTTAGATGAAAGTCCCTGGGAATTAATAAAAAGAAAAAAAAAAAAACAATCTTTAGCGAGTCGTTTAAAAGAAATCAATGCAGGAAGATATTTATTTTGTCCCTTTGTCACATAATGAATCAAGAAAATATGAAATTCTGTGAAAAATGAAGCTAAATGCCCATTGTAAGAAGAGATACAGGTCATCATTGGGCTCTGTGGAGTTGACGGTCCAATGAGACTGGTAAACATTGCCTGTCGAGACAGATCTCCTGTTAATATTTTTTGTAATTTCTGTTTTTGAACTTTAAACATATGTATTTATTTATTTATAATTTTGCACACTCTAGAACATGTCTACAGAGCGGACTTAATGCCTGATGGCATTCTCTACCAGTCAACCGTTACGCTAAACAGGTAGAGTAACTGGCGGTGCATAGATTTAAGAAAAAATAATGTAAATCAAATATATATATATGTTCGCGACATTATAATCTCTTATATAAAAATGTATAGTTATAGCGATACTTTATAGTTATTTGTTAGCATAAGTCATTAGTTTTTTAATCGTTTAAATTGTTAATTTTATATAGGTTTTCTCTGATGTATTTATAGTTGTAAGTTGAATAAAACATTTTATTGTGTCGAGTCATTATTAACCACAAGTAGAAATAAGAAAAAGATTGTAAAAATAATAGTAATAAGATAATTATGATAAATAAATAGACGCCAAATGGTGCCGCTCTGAAGAGTTACGCGTCCCTCTCACACTCGCCCCGTCCCGCTTGCACAGACTCACTAATGTGAGTTGGTACATGTTATCGTGCGACCGGGCGGGTATAAAGATAGGCCGCCTACCGTCGAGCGGCATGCACTGCACTGCACTCCCCAACCGATAAGGAAATAGGAGACTCTTCAGTACGGAACCGGGAGATTCAAGAAAGGAATTTTATCGTTTCTCTCCAGCCTGAACCAGCACCCCTACAGTCCACGCTCACCGTGCGGTCAAGCTGCACCGCTCAATATATATATATATATATATATATATATATATATATATATATATATATATATATATATATATATATATATATATATATATATATATATATATATATATATAGATAGATAGATAGATACTCTTTATTGTTCCCTCCAGTTTTATTGCAGGCAACCTTTGGATGGAGAGGAGTAGTTATAAACAGTTTGGTAATATAAGTAGTTTAGTTTTTAAATGGAAATAAATCTTTGTGGAACACAATTTTTAATTATTAATAGAATGAAAGAGAAGGGGGGATAGGTGAGGATGAAAGCAGGTCAGTTGGCCCATTTTAACTAAGAATTAATTACGAAGGTTTCCAGGGGGAACCGCGTGGAGGTCAACCTGATTTTTCTATTACTTATTATTGTAATATATGTTTAATTTTAGTTATGTATTTAAAAAAAAATATGTGTAAAGAGGCTTCCTCAGGGTCGGCAACGCGCGCGTAATGCCCCTACTATTGCAGGCGTTCATTGGCTGTGGAAATCGTTTACCATCAGGTGAGCTGTATGTTTGTTTACCATTACAATGGTATAAACAAATTATTTATTTATTTGATTCTTTATTGTACACACCAGTTAGAAGAATATGACAGAGGAAACCAAATGTACAAAGGCGAGCTTAACTCTGATAGAGTTTTCTTCCAGCAACTTCCAAAGTGGAAAGGAGCATCAATGTCATTATTGTTAAGTTAATCTAGGTTTTTTTACCCTCGAACATTGTATAGTTTTCTTTCAGCTTCTCAAAGGTTGACTGTAAGAGATCCCTCTATGGGATAAGTCCCCCATTGTATATTAAAGCCTCTTAAAGTGTTCAATGTAAATTATGTACAATAAAGATCATACAATACAAATTCAATTAATGTAAATCTAGCAATGTACCCTATCAGGTCGACCTCCGCGCAGTTCCCTCTGGAAACTATAGTGATTAATTCTTTTTGAATTCACCACGGTGGGCTAACTGACCTGCTTCATCATCACCTATCATCCGTCACTGGCGCTCCGCCAGCATAGGTATACTATCGGTATCGATAGCGCAGGCAAGGTTACTATACCATTATCATCCATTAAAAAAAATCCTTTTCCCCCTTTGGGGGGAAAAGGATTTTTTTTAATGGATGATATTATACTTTGATGATGATTATACTTTTTTTTTTATGCAACTTAGAATGGCAAACAAGCTGACGGTCCATTTGATGGAAAGTGGTAACCGTCGCCTATAGACATGAGCAGTACCGTGAACATAACAGAGTATACTGTTTCGCCCATGATACCCCCCATGCGTTGCCATTCCTGAGTACTCAGGTGTTATTCCTCTGTACCCTGTAAATTCACGCCATATCCCACCCTTCAAACCGAAACACAGCCATGCAGACACAACTGCTTCACGGTAGAAACACGAATAGGACAGAGGTACCTAAGCAATAGACTTTGTACAAAGTCTCCCTCTGGTACTTAGTTAAAGTAAGGTAGATATCCGAAAACAACATGTTTCTATGGTGTCAATGTTCAATTTAGATGTTCATACGACGCTGAATATCTCGAATCCACCCTGTATTTAAGGGATCTTCCAAAACTGGGCAAGGTATATACACAACGGACCTACTGACCTATTTTCCTTTACGCAGTGTGACGTCACTGCGCCAATGCGCTAAACTAGCCGAGCCGTGCCAAGGGGAAAACTGTTTTCCGCCATTGTAATAAAATTCAAAATAACATTGAGATTGTTATGTTGGTGCGGCCATGAAATTATGGGTATGTAGCAATGGTCTCCTGGAAGTCAACAGTACTGTTGGTGTCAGCTGAGTTTTTACACTAGTTGAGGCATTCGATTTGGTCCGCTAACAGCATTTTTTTAATGGATAATAATGGTATGGTAACCCCGCCTGCGTTATTGATTCACTGATGGGATATCAATGAGTGGTAATAGGCTTTTTGATAGGTGAAAATGGTATGGTAACCCCGCCTGCGCTAACGGTTACGCTGGCGGGGCACCAGTGAGAGGTGATAGGTGATGATAAAGCAGGCCAGTTAGCCCATCATGATAAATTTACCAATGAATCAATCACGATGGTTTCCAGGGAGAGCCGCGAGGAGGTCGACCTGATTGAGTATATTGCTAGTAATAGGGTTGGTAATCCCCATTACTAACTATCCCTTTTCCTCCCAGTTGCAATGCTTGCATTCGACTTGGCGCACTGAAAGACGTTTTTTATGGGATGTAGATGAAATAGTAACCCTATCTGAGTTGGGGGAAAGGGATTGTTAGTAATGGAGACTGAAAATCCCATTGCTAGCAATATACCCAACCAGGTCGACCTCCTCGCGGTTCCCCCTGGAAACTATCATGATTAATTCCTGATGAATTCATCATGAGGGCTAACTGGCCTGATTTCATTCTCATCTATCACCCTTCATTGGTGCTCCGCCAGCGTATCCCGTTAGCGCAGGCGGGGTTACCATTCTATTTTCATCCAATAAAAAAAAAACCGTCTGAGCTATCGGTATACACTGGCTGGGCACCAGTGAGACATAGTAGGTGAGAAAGAAATTAGGTCGACTAAGGGAACTTAAACGTAGAGTGATGGACAACAGCGTCCCTCTGATAACATCATCAAAGCATATCCGCAATTCCTATGGGTGAAACCCCCCCAATGGGGAGGCGTATGTTCAGCAGTGGACAGTTAAAAGCTGACATGACGATGATGATGATATGTTTAAAAAATTGTGTATTTATTTATTTATTTATTCATTAGTATATATATGTGTACATGGCGGACTTAATGCTAAAAACATTCTCTCCCAGTCAACCATAGGGAAGTGTCAGAATACTCGAATGCGGTACTAGTAATT